TTGACCGTCATATTATAACGCCCCCACGGTTGAAAGGGCGAGCATGTTTGGTGGGACGGGAATTCGAACTCGTGAACCTCAGATTGCGAGTCGAGCGCCCTAACCACCTGGCCATGCCGGGCCTTGACCTAAAATAATCAACTCATTGCTTCATTAGTTATTGTAACCTAGCCACAATTACTTTTCCGTGCAAAATACCCGTAATGAAGAACATTGTTAATTAATTTTATTCTGCCAACTAACAATCGTATATTGTTAACGAAAATCATTTGTTTTACTGTTATAATATAGTTATAATATTTGTTTTTCTGAATTGCTGTCGCTAGATCCGCAAGTGTGTCATCCATGTTTCTGATTTTACTTTCCTTGCTTGGATCTGTGTATACTATAGGTCGTCTTAACCGATCCAGGATCTGTGTAGATCGTCTTAACTGATCTATTAAGTTTTCTGAAATTTCACTCTTATTTTAGGACAGTTCATCTGGTTTCGATATCATAAAACTCCTTTAATATAAACTTATATAAAAACAACAACAACAGGACTTCCAAGCCTTATGTGTTAACAGTGATTTTTTGTTTATTAAGAGTCTGGAGGAACAGTAAAAATTTATTGATTAAAATGCTAATAAACTAACGTAACCTTTAACCGAGCTGTAAAAACGTAATGATATTCAGTACAGGATGAGTAAAAGGCAATACCATTAATATATTTATTTATTTTTCCTTGTTTGTTATTCAAAATATGTAAACCCAGTTTTCGTTTACAATTTGTTATCACCAGTACTGAAGGCACTACTCATCAAAACTGTAACAAACATTTTTATATAATTGAAAATTAAAAACGTTTCGTGCAATTTTTAGACAAATATTTAACTATAAAAATAATCACTTTCAAAACATTTTTGTCACTAGGTGGCACCATTAGTCGAATACGTTAGAAAGTTTCTCGCTTAAAATTAAAATTTAATACCTTGTACAATTTTTTGATGAAGTTTGTTTGTTGTTAAGCACAAAGCTACACAATCAGCCACCTGTGCTCTTCTCACTGCAGGTATCGAAACCCAGGATTTAGTCTTATAAGCCCTCGGAGGGCTTTAGGATGAAGTTCTAAATAGATTTGTCAGCTGAAAATTCTAGGAATATCACACCAAACATGCTCACCCCTTTCAGCCGTGAATCCCTCTATTCGTTGGTAAAAGAGTAGCCCAAGAGTTGGCAGTGGTGGTGATGAC